GAGGCTGAGGCAGGAGAATCACTTGAACCTGGCAGGCAGAGATTGTAGTGAGCCGAGATTGCGCCACTGCACTCCAGCCTGGCGACAGAGTGAGACTTTGTCTCAAAAAAAAAAAAAAAAAATAGTACCTAGGGTTTCAAATTTAGCAAAGAAAGAAGGAACTCTTCCACCTTTTCTTAGTTTGAAAGTCAAGGCCTGAATGGTCTGTCGTGAGAACTCTCCTAAATCTTGATCTCATTCAGAGGGAGATTCAAGACTCAATCATGTAAATTTTGGCCTTCATTAGGATAAGTGCAGTCATGTAGTCGTGTGCAGCATAACAGTGGGTCAAAGAAGGACCACATAGACTATGGTAATCCCATAAGATTGTAATGGAGCTGAAAAATTTCGTTGCCTAGTGACATTGTAACATCATAACACAATGTATTACTTTTTCTATTTTTAGATACACAAATACTTACCATTGTGTTTCAGTTGCCTACACTATTCAGTATAGTACAATGCTGTACCGGTTTGTAGCCTAGGAGCAAGAGGCTATACTATATAGGGGTATAGTGGGCCATACTATCCAGGTTTGTGTCAGTGCACTCTGTGATGTTCACACAACAATGAAATTGGCCTATCAAAATGCATTCCTCAGTACATAACCCCATTGTTAAGTGACAAATGGTTGTATGTGCAAAGTTGGTCCTGGGGTACCTAGTAAAAAAAAAGTCCCCTTTAGGTTGTTAATAGACAAATTGCGTTGAAACGTCAGATGTAAAGAAGATGAAATTTGATAATACGTGGTGGTCTAAATCAAAGGTCACAAACAGAAATGCTCACAAGTACATTCACTGAAGCAAGAGTAGAGACGAGAATGGAGAGTACATGTCCATCTAAAGCATTTCCTATTTAGTGCCAGTGATTAATACTGGTATTGCCAGACCTGGTTTTTTAAGTGAGGCTTGAACATGTAGATTTTTAATGCGAAACAAACCGCTTTTTTTAGACTTTTTATTTTGAAACCATTTTGAACTTACAGAGTTTAAAAGCTGTAAGAATTGTATGAAAATGGTCTTTTACTCTTTGTCTAGAGATCTCATTCCAATTCTGCCAATTGTCCTAATAATTTTTTTTAAATTACAGAGGGATCCAATCAAGGATCACATTATGTTTAGCTGTCAGGCCTCTTTAGTCTCTTTCAGTCTGAAACAGTTCCTTAGTCTTTCCTTGACTTCTGTGACCTCAACATTTTTGAAGCTGACAGCCGATCGTTTTGTGGATTGTCCCTCAATGTGGGCTTGTCTGATGTTTTCTCATGAAGAGACCTAGGTAATGCATTTGGGGCCAGAATACCACAAAAGTGATACTAATTCTTCTCATTGCATTATATCTGATGGCACATGCTAGTCATTTAGTGGTGTTTGACCACTTGTTTTAGGTTGTATCTATTAGATTCTTCCACTGTAAATTTATATTGTCTTACCCTTTGTAATTAGTAAGTATTTTAAAAGGAGATACTTTAAATCATGTAAAATTTCATTCTTCATCTCATTTCTCATTTTTAATAAAAATCTATTGCTTTTTCTTGCTTTAATGAATTATTGCTATAAGAGCTGCCAAATGCTGATTTTCTAATTCTGTTATAACTTTTATTTTTTAGCATTTTTTCTATAAGAACTTTCTCTTCTCATTTATTTATTCATCTGTTTATTTATACCAATACAGACTGAAGCATTCCTATTATATTTAATGGGTTATAATTCTTTACTATCACGATTTATTTTGATGTGCAAATTGTCCCAGATTTGGCCAACAGGAGCTCTCTCAAGCTGGCTTTGTGTCCTTTTGACATGTCTTCATCATTCTTCGAGCACAAGATGTTTCAGGCTCATCTTGTTCTTTCTGTATTCTGGCCCTGGAATCAACCATGTCTCCAAGGAGCACTGGTTGCTTTTTTGTGGAGTATGGTATTTAGAAATCAGTATCTGGGTGCTAGATATCCTCATTGTTCTGGAGCATCTCTGCTTCAGATCCTGGCAGTGAACAGACTTAGGAAATTATATATATGTATATATGTATATACACACATGTACACCTGTATTTCTATATCTGTCTCTGTGTTGAAAAGCGGAAGTTCATACAGGTACCCACAATTCTGGTTCAAAACTACAGAGTTCCTTCTCGTTTTTCACTTTTCATATTTTAAAATCTCTTCTCCAACAGCAGGAAATCTGGCTCCTGATATCTTTAACATATTTATTTATTTGCTCAATTCCTTTGTATGTAGCCAGTTTCCTGACCCTACTGGGCCACTGTCCCACTCAGATGCCCTTTTTGTATGGATTTAGACCCCGATTAGGTGGCCACCCTGCTTAGAAAACCTCCATCTGCTTCTGGCTGACTTACCATCCTACTCACCATCTTTCTTTTTTTGTTTTTCTTTTTTGTTACTCATCATCTTCCTCATGTGGGCCCTGGCTACCACTGGGCTGCAAGAAGGAAGGTCTGATTTTTATACGTTGTTCAGGTAATTGAAGTTTAAAAGAAAAAATAAAAAAGCTTTTGTAGGTTAATCAGAACTTGACCAGTAGGTTAGATTCAAGACTAGTGTGACCTCTGGTCTAGACAATAAAGGAGAAAATAGTTATCAGATGATGATGATGGCTTATTTAATATGGATTTCAGTGTGAGCTATATGCTCGTACTGGGGTAGGAGGAAAGATGAGCGCACACACCTTTTCTCTACGTAGTGTATGTTCCCCACTAGACTAAGGGAGATATGGGGTGGAGCACTTTCACCCACCAGGGGAACTTTTCCTTGAAGCTTTTTTGTTTTACTTTAATTTTTGCTTCCTTCTGCTTCTTACACTCAATTTAGAATTCCACACATTGATATTAGTAATCTTATCCTTGCTGGGGTTCAGAATAAAATGCCCCAGTGAAAAGGAAGATTAGGAAGAAGAAACATTACTTTTTTTTTTTTTAGATGTGCAGCCCTCTTGAATAAAAGAGTATAGGAATGACAAATGTGTTGGCACCAGATTCCAACTCACCACAGACTTTTGTCAGGCTTTTCATGTTGACCGAGTTAGATCAGGTACTTGTAGTAGCTACAAGAGATAAAAAGCCTCTTTTTCTGAGGCAGAAGCTTTCCCTGCCTTCTAACTCATTATTCTTTGTGGGGAGAGGATTGCAGGAGGGATGTTACCTTGAGATAATGTCTGGCTGAGGCAGGCAGCCTCTGTGGAGGCAGCATGGGCCCCCTTCGTATCTCACAAGAATTCAGAGAATGACTGTCTTCCTCTTGCTTGGACAATCTGTCGGAGGAAGATTGTGATGCATAGGCAAGGGTTTACTCACCAGGGCACTGGGGTATGACATGGCCAGAAGTTAAGTGATAACTACTGGAAGTTTCTAGAAAATCTGGGGTCCTTCTCAAGCATAGATGTAATGCTCATCAAACTATTGTCTTTTAGTCTGGTCATCATTTTCTCTTTGTCCACATCCTTTTTCCTAGCCCCATGTTTGTTTTTTTCTCTTTTTTGGGTTTGGGTTTTTTTTTTTTTTCTTCTTTTCACTTTTCTTTCTTTGGCTCTTGTATATTCCTGGTACAGGGAATTAGGGAGTGGAGATAGTGGGTGGGTGAGAAGAAACAGAGAAGAGGAAAATTTTTAAATGCTGACCTTTAATGTGGTAAAAATTCATGTTGACTTCATAGTCTGAGTAAGCATATGTAAATAATTTGTTAATCATATGAAAATAAACTTGTGGCCTTCTTTTTTATTTTCACACACTTGGATCTGCCTCTTGGGAAAACCACTGTAGTGAAGGGTGATATGGTTACAATGGTATGTAAACAGGGGTTGATATTTACCATAACCATTCGCCTTGAGTGTCCTTTTGTTGATATTGAGCATCACTGGAAAGTTTTCTCTTTCCCTGGTTACTTCCTTCAGAGGCACATATATTTTATACTTTGGTCTTCTTTTGACAATGGTCCAGGATATCAAATTGCTACCCTGTTTTCGGTGGGATCCATGTTTAATTCCTCTTTCTTTTGCCTTCATTCCAGATTCAGGACTAAGTCTCTTGCACTGTGCCCATATTTTTTGCTGTTTTGCTTTGTCTGCTGTTCATGCTGTCATTATTTATTCTTTTTAAATGAGTATTACGGCTCAGTTCTAGTTTATGGATGTGAGCTCTAAGCCTATATATAGCTGTGCTGTCCGTTTTTCTTTCTGCTTAAGTATTTTTTTTTCCTTGAATGCTATAGTACCAGGCACTGTGTGGGCCCTCAGTAGGTGTTTCTGTTGCCCAGGCTGGAGTGTAGTGGTGTGATCACAGCTCACTGCAGCTTCTGTCTCCTGGGCTCAAACAATCTTCCTGCCTTAGCCTCCCAAGTAGCTGGGACTATAGGCACACACCACCATGCCTGCTTAACTTTTTAATTTTTTGAAGAGAGAGGGTCTTGCTATGTTGCCTATGCTGGTCTCAAACTCCTGGGCTCAAGCAATTTTCCTGCCTCAATTTCCCAAAGTGCTGAGATTACAGGCATGAGCCACCATGCCCAGCCAGTTGCTATTTCTTGTCCAGTGAATGCCCCGTCTTTCACAGTCTCCTACACACAGTTTCCCACGTTGTAAATAGCTGTATTTTTAATTTTTGTTCTTCCTGTTGGTGTAATGTTCTATATAAGAGAAGCAGCGTCTTGTTGTGATTAAGTATGGGTTTTGGAGTTGGTGTGATCTTGAACAAGTTACTTAATAGGTCACATTTAGTTTTTGCATCTATTTTTCAACTTGGAGACAATATTATCTACTTCATAGGGTTGCTTTAAGAATTGAATTAAGTGTGACATTATAAAACATTTAGCATGGAAGTTAGTTAAGTAAGCACTCAGTATTTGTTAGATAATGATGTTCCCCTACTTTATTATTATCTCGTTGATCCTCTGTTCCAGCCTGTATTTCCTTGAAACTCTGTTCCTGGCATTTAACCTGTTTCCCTTCTATCAGGTTTGCAACTGTGCGATATGATCAAGGAGCCAAGAACATTCGGAATCAGTTCATGCATCTGACAAACTACAGTGTGAACAAGAAGAGTGGAGACTACGTCAGGTACTGGCTGTGTCTGAGCCAGATGTCAGAGGTGCCAGTCTCAGATGTGGGTGTTGTAGACGTGGAAGGGTAGTATGTGGCACTGGAGGATAACTTTACATTAATGTCCATGTAACATTTATGCAAAGCTGTCAGTCATATAGTGTTGAGGCATATCTCCTGCTGCTTCTCCATTGCCTCCCCAGTTAACGGTGTCACCTTTCTCTATCAAAATATGCCTTCACAAGTTTTTCTTCCTCATTGTCTTCCCTCACTTGACTTAGGGATGGGAATTTAATGGGCCTATGGAACATTTTAGTACTTAAGAAATGAGGTCATTTCAGTGCTTGGCAAACCTGTCAATAGCTTAAAAATGTCTGTACCCTGTGACCCTGCCACCCCTCCCTCAATTCCATATCTAGGAACTTATCTTAAGAAATAAAAGATGTACATGCAGGATCAGTGATAAGAATGTTCACTGTTGTATATTTGTAGGTGGAAAAAGCAGGTTACCAGAAGATAGCACGTGCAACTTAATTTCTTGCTTGAATATATGAGATATCTAAAGCTGCTTATTTTTGCTGAGGGCGTAGGGAAAAAAAGACCAGAATTAATCCCGAAGTGTTAACTTAGCTTAACCATAGTGGGTAGGATTGTGAGTGGGTGATTTTTATTTTCTTCTCTGTACTATTATGTATTTTCTGAATTTTTCTAAAATAAATACTAGAAATCAAGAAAAAATAAAGGAAAAAATTAAAGAAAGAAATGAGGCCATCCCAGAAAAGGATTCAGTAGAAGGGAGTACCAGCCCAGTTGTGTGGAAATACTCTTTTTGCTCTGTTTTCTTTCATCCCAATAATTTTGCCAGAAAGTGGAAAAGTGGAAAAGAAACCCAAACGGTTACTATCTACTCCGACTAAAAATAGGTTCCTACCAGGTCCAAGGAAAGAAAGAAAGGAATCTGGAAGTGATAGAATAGTTACTGGTTACTGAAGCTATATAGCTTTCATCAAATATCCTGTGAGCAGCGTTCGAACTGATTGAAGAGATCATACCTTCATTGTGAAAGATGAGGAAAGGCACAACTGGTGGAGAGTGGGATGGTGGTAGGGAGTGAGGGGACAGCTGCAAAACACGGGTTCCAGATTGCAGGGCTCTTCCAGCATTCATGGGAGGCTGTGCCATTTGCCATTCTGCTGCCATAGCAGTAGTGTACCTCCTCACTCTTTACTGTCACTCCAGTGCACTCTCCCTTCAGTGATACCTCAGAAAATATCAAGAAAAGCTGTATCTACTTCCAAAAAGGAGGGAGCCTTCTTCAGATGCCAAAGCAAGTCTATGTGGGGTTAGTTCATTAGCATGCTGCACTAGATTAGCTCACTCACCCATCCCAACTCAGTTCTGTTCTGAAAATGGTGTCAGAGGTTGTTTTGTGGACTCAGGTGACATTCACCACAAAGGTTAGGTCTCTGTCCCCAAACATTTCTGTTAATTTATTGTAACCATTCTTAGATTTGTTTACCTTCCTTCACACATTGCTTCCACCCTTTCTTGATGCTTAATTGTTTAGTTAAGAAAGAATTTGTCTTCCTCTTCTCCACCCTCTTGAAAAAAGGCAAACTATTGCATTTTCATTTCCATTGAAGAAATGGGTATGAAGGGATACATGACAGAAAGGACCAAGTAAAAGTAAGTGGAAGTCAGCAAAATAAATTAAAAAAAAAAACTTGATAAGAAGACTGCAGAGAATCTTGTTATTATAGCAAGCCTAGTTACATTATGTGACTTTGATTCATTAATTTGTTTTAGTTGTGATGATCCGGAAGTGGAGGATTATGGAAACAAATGGAGTATGAGTGCTATGCTTAGGTACCTGAAACAAGAAGGCCGAGATACAACCGGTGAGCACTGGGCCTTTTTCCTTCTTGACTTCTCTTCTTTGGGTAACTTTATCATTGTCTCTTGCCAGGAATCATTTTCTCTTACTTTGATAGTGTTGCGGAGATGGGATGATTGTCTTTGGTGTTACTCTTTCCTGCAGTTGATAAGCTGGGGAACAGGTTTTCCATTACCCCCCAAATCCCTGTTGTAATGTTTCTGGTCCGAAAGGCATAACTTTCTCCTTTAATCCTTAGTGAATTTACCCTTCTTGAATGTTGAACTGCTGACTAAAATACTGTCAGCTTTTTATATAACAAATTGCTTGTCTTCATATTGGCCCCAAGTTTTGAGTTTTCTAAGTTAATCTCTCTCATTCATGTTGCTGCCTTGGAGAATGGGCACTGTTTGAGCACAGGGCTTCAGATCAAAATGGACACAACTGCTGAGCCTTGAGCGGAATGGGAAACTGCGTGCCAAAAGAGACTGTCTCCATTCACAAGGGAAAGGGTCATAGGGGAAGTGTGAGAAGGGAAGTGAGGCTCCTTTTCCATTGTATGTCCGTCTTTTGTCATGAGAGGCCACCTGAGGGTATCCCTTGGCACCTATTCTTGACTGTGCTGATCTGTTTACAGATATGCCTGCCTCCATCGCACCCATTCAGAAGTCTGCCATATAGAGACTTTTTTGAATGTGCACACATGCTTTTATAATTATATTGTTATCTGGAATCCAGTTCCTGCTAATCCATGTATTTTGGTATTGAGTCTGAAATTAAAATTTTTTTTTTTCAGCATTGATGGCCCATGTGGAAGACCTGATCATTAAGACTATAATCTCTGCTGAACTAGCTATTGCTACTGCCTGTAAAACCTTTGTTCCTCATCGCAGCAGTTGTTTTGGTAAGGAAACTCAAGAAGCTTAACATGTTTTATGAAGAGTGTCTTGGGAAGTTGGATGGGATTCTGGGGTAGAGAGGCTTAGTGATTCTATAGCAGTAAGGGTATATGATGGACTTCGTTTCTTTCTAAGCTCATGTAGCATATGAAGAGCCTACTAAGAGGCCAATAGTGAGCTTGGTCGGAAGTCCCCTGAGGAATAACTAGCTTTCTGTGGGAAGCAGGGATTGGAACGAAAGTGTTGGTCTTTCTGTCAGAATGTAGTCAGAAAAAAGTCTGCAACGGACTGTACAGGAATCCAACTCTAACAAATATATTCCAGAGCTCCTTGGCAGCCAGACTGGGAACAGTTCCAAGAAGCTCTGGCTGGTACCAGTATGTGCTTTCTCCCATTTTCCGATGACTCCTCCTTTTTGTTTGAATCTTTTTTTCTAGTGGGTTCCTCCCCCTCCTCTCTTTCTCCCCATCCTCTTCCACTTTCTTTTCTTTCTCTTCCTCTTCTCCTCTTCTTCTACTCCACCTCCAACTCCCTGGCTGCACAGAGTAGGAATAAACAGTTCAGTTCACAACTACTGGATCAAGAGATGTTACCTACTGACCTACTAGCTGTGATGGTAGCACTGAGGGTGCCTGTGGACGTTGCTTCCTCTGTGGAAATGAACGGGTTTGTGATTGCCAGTGTGAATGTCTTTAAAGTCACATAGGCTTTTGGCAGTGTTAGGCAGTCAAATACACTGGGGTCTTTGATGGGGAAGATGATTAAAGTGTGGTGTGGAGTAATACAGGTGGTAAGGATATATGAGACTCATGGCTTGCTTAGAAGGCAGGATAACAGGGAAATAAAGAACATGGGTTTTAGAGCCTGACAGCCTTAGTTTGTAACCATGTATATCCCTGTCTAGTTTTGTGATTTTCAGCAAGTTACTCTAATCCTGTTTCCTCAACTATAAAAGGGCAGTAATGATGGTGTCTACCTCCTGAGAATACCATGAAGATCAAATGAGATGATGCATACCATGCACTTGACACAGTGTCTGGCCTTTACATTGTACTCAATAAAAATTATTTTTTATTTTTATAATTAGACATTATAATTCTTGATCTTTTTAACAGATTATCATAACAGCCTATATTTGAGGGGCACTAAACAAAGCGAATTGTTGAGATTGAATAGAAGATGGTAGATAAATCAGGACCTAAAATTATATGGGAAAAAAAGAGGTTGCAATGTGTTTTTTAAAATCCATATCTTATCATGTCTTCTAAAATCCTTAAGGGGTTCCCTAGGCTTAAATTGTATAATAGAAACTTGATGTGACCTGAAAGGCTTCTAAGGTAACTCAGGTAATTCTTCTAGAATTCTGTTTTTCCTCTTGTACCTTATAATCCAAGTGTACCATACTATACTTCTGAGCACTCTGTGCTTTTGGGCCATTGTGTGAGTTCTGCTGTTTGGCTCGAAAACTCTCCTTCCGTCTCTGCCTTGCATGCTTTCATTTCTTTTCTAAGGTTTAGCTCCACATTGCCTCCTCCTTCATGCTGTTCTTTTTTTTGAGACAGGGTCTTGCTCTGTTGCCCAGGGTGGAGTACAGTGGCATGATCACAGTTCACTGCAGCCTCCATCTCCTGGGCGCAAGTGATCCTCCTGCCTTAGCTTCCTGAGTAGTTGGGACTATAAGCATGTGCCACCATGTCTGGCTACTTTTTTAAAAAATACTTTTTGTAGAAACGTGATCTCACTATGCATTGTACTGTTCTGTGCTTGTTCCATCATGCCCTTCTCCTATCACATCATGATGTTTTGTTTATACATATACTTCCTCCAGAGTCTCGTAAGTTTATTTTCTTGAATTCTTAATAGTAAATGTGTCCTTCTTCCCATCTCACCCTATTTCTGCCAAACCAGAGCTTTCAACATTTCTCTCATCCCCTTTTTAAATTCTTTTTGTTTTGTTTTAGAGACAGGGCCTTGTTGTTGCCCAGGCTAGAGTGCAATGGCACAATCATTTTTTAGCTCACTGCAGCCTTGAACTCATGGTCTCAACTTGATCCCCCTGCCTTGGCCTCCCCAAACACTGGGCTTACAGGCATGAGCCACCAAACCTGGTCCTTTTCTTGCTCACTGCCTCTGCACCTGTTTTACCTTGTGTCTGAAATACCTTTCTTATGTTACTTTATGTAACAGATTACAGACATCTGTCAAGATGAAGTCAAATATCAATTCTTTAGTGATTTTTTTTCTAATGTTCCCAGAATAAGCCTGTCCTGCCCCTATACCCCCAGCACTCTGTTGGTAACTTTGCAGTAGTATCTGCATGGTGTCTGGTATTCATGTGTGTATCTGTCTCCTATAGCTGACTGGAAGCTCCTTGAGGACAGTAACAATGTCTCCATCAGTTCTGGCCCTACTGTGTGTAGCAGCACTTTTTTTTTTTTTTAAAGTCAGATAGGATCTCACTATGTTGCCCAGTCTGACCTTGAATTCCTGGGCTCAGAGGATCCACCTGCCTCAGCCTCCTGAGTAGCTGGGACTACAGGTGTATCCACCATGCCCAGTTGCATGTCAGCATCTTTTGCTCTTAGAGGATGTTCAGGAAATGCTTGCTGAATGAGTAATTGGTACTTGCTTTAATTGCCTTTTGGTGACCTGACAATAGACTTCCCAATGGATCTGTTTTGGTAATGGCCTAGAACTCTTAGAATTATTGCAAACTGCTTGAGGATGGGGATGGGGGGTTGGGACTAGGAACATAACTCCAACTTTCAAAATCTCATTAGATTTAAATAATAAATAAAGGTTTATTTTCTACATCTACTTGGCTCTTATATGAGGGTAAATTTCTGATATCCCTTGCTGTAAAAATCTTTGTTCTGAATAGTTAATTATAAAATCTTTCTGAATGTTTCCTTTTCTTTTTTGTTTTATAACTTGATTGCCTTTTGAAAGCTTGGGAGCTTCATTATCAAGCTTAATGCTAATAGAATGTTCCGACATGAAAGAAGCTGTGACTTTCTCTGACTCAGTGAAATACCCCTTAAGTCCATTTCATCAGCCATGGATCTCCTTTCTTCCTCCCTATTTGTGTTCAGTTTTAATAACCTGAGTGCATCTGGAGTTTTTTAAGTTGTTGACTATCTTCTTGGCTTTTGTGGTTCTAATTCCACTTCCTGTCAGCCCTGGGATTTTGTGTGCTTCATTAACCTCATCCCATCAGATATGATTTTGTATACGTGTGTATATTTATGTGAGTCTCTGCCTCCCACTGACTCCTAACTTCCCCTGGGGTTTAAGTTACAAGGAATAAGCGAGTTCCCCCCCCACCCCCACATTTATTTTAGAGTAAACAGGAATTGAAAGCTTCCCAGAAGATTTTGGCTTAAACAGAGCATTAGTGCTTTTAGGGGAAACCAACAGACCAGACATAGGGTTCACTATATTCTTTTGGTGGTTGTTTCTGTCCTTCCATCTTATGGATCTCTGCCAGGGGCATTCCCTTACTATCTCAGTGTTTGTATCCTATGATTTCTTTCCTATTCTAACACCTGTAATGTTCAACTATGTATGTTTCCAGGTATTTTCAATATCCCATCCTATTTGTTTATTTTTATATTTAACTTTTCTTCATTTCCTGCTAGCCTTTCAGCAGGTATTGATATCAAGTTTGTTCTTCTCAAACCAAATTTTGTGTAGGATGATATATGTACATATACCTGCATTGCACTATTAGTGTTTAAATGTAGACTTGGGAACCTATGCAAACTACCTGAAACTTTGTCATTTAATGCTTTTTCCTAGATATGTACACCTGGTAAGGACCTTAGAGAATAATTAGTTCAGATACAGAAATTGAAACCCTGAGAAATGAAATCTTGTCCCAAGTTCTAGAACCAGTGAGTTAAATAACTCAGGTCAAAATGTCTGAGCTTGGTTGGATCAGTGGGGCTTCAGAATATGGGTTTTGGCAATCATGTTGATCATAAGACTTTTAATTTGTAGAATTTTTGTTGCCTCCCTCAATAAGACAGATTTTTTTACAGTCTAATTTTTACTGGCTTCCAAGATCGTGAAAACATGTTACCATGTGAAATAATATGCTTAAACAGCAATTCTTTAAATATGCTTAGGAAATTGACATTGTGAGATACAACTGGCTATGAGAATAGCTTTTTGACCAGTTGAAGAAAAACAGCCCAGAACAACAGGATGTTAGCTGTTCTTTAAATATGTTGCTGCTGACAGTGGTTTTATCTGTGTGTGAGCATGGCTGAAGTCATGGGCCGTGACCCAGGCCTGGGGTCATGGAGACAAGTTGTGGGGCCACTTGTAGAACTGATCAGCCTGGTCTTGTTCTGATCAGAGCCCAGTGACGTGTTGCTCAGGACCAACCATGTCCAGTACCCCTCTCTGCTGAACAAAATCTGATTTGGTTTTCTACTGCCCAGTTGCATTCTTGGCCATTTCACAGGGTAGCCTGAGGTTCTTATAGGGAGGGTATCCATAAATAATTGTTGGAGGAATGAAAGCAGGCAGTGTACATTCCCCAACAATGTAAACTACTTGTGCACCAACAGAAAAAATAATGAAAGTCATCAATCCCTTCACTTTTTGAGATAATCTCCTTTTCTGGTTTATCATATGCTCCTGTTTAGATGGGAAAGGAAGTTTACTACAAAAGAAATTTATGTAGGAATTATCTACTGTTTATCAAGCAAACGTCGGTTATTTTCTTAATTTAGTTTCACTGGTTATTTCTTTTTAGTCTTCAACAATTTTCGTTGGTATTACCATGTTTTATAGACATGGAAAAAAGATTCAGAAAGGTTAAATAAGTTTTCCTAGGTCACGCAGCTTATAAATGGCAAAGCCAAATTTGGGAGCCAGGTCTCTCTGGTTCCTTCTCCACCCACATAAAGACATGTCCTTATGAGTCCGGCTACTTTTGGCATGCCCCATATCCTGGATTCTCCCTCTGTTCTCCTGTAACTAGATCTCAGGAAAAATG